ATAAATTATTAAGATATAATATTAAGATATAATATTAAGATATAATATTAAGATATAATGTGTATATAGAGACTACTTGCCATTGATGCAGACATGCAGACGAACATGGCTATAGCGATTCGGCTGTTGATCAAGAGTAAATATATTCCTTATGGGGACTTTTTATTTTATGTGTTACATGTTCAGTGACAAAGTTGCCATACTCTCTACAAGTGTATGCGTATACAGTTTTATGAAGCACAATCACATTACACATACGCCCCGTCTGCCAATGCCTGACACTAGGTTAAAGTTCAATGGAACGTGCGCTCAGCTCAGCTCTGCTTTGCTCCACTATCTGACCGTCTGTTCAACGGTCTGTGATTATGTGCGCCTGATAAGCTTTGGTTTCTCCGATACTCTACGGATATACATATATATACATTAATTGCTGTAATTGAGTTGGTTCTAGTTGGATTGATATTGAAACACCTGCCGTTGATTTAGCTCATTTGTAAATCAGCAAAAATATTGTATTTATTTTATATATATTATATTTATTTATTTATGTAAATACAAAGAAATGACAGATGTTTTGTAAAGGTCTGTATTTATTTGGGTAAAGCTGATTTTCAATCGCAGGCTAAAATTTATCGACCCGACAGCGTGCCAATTGGCAAAATTTTAATTGCCTTAATATCCGGTTGGCGTTGATCTGAACGTCAACGTGTTGACTGACATCCGTCCGCTGGTTAAATATTTATCCGGCTAATAGGTCCGCGCAGTTGACGCTACTTTGACATTTTGCCAGCTAGGCCGCATCAAATATACATAATGCCTAGAATTTATCTAGAATATGCTTTTTAATGTCGCATTCGGATTTGACTGCAGTGTGGATTGGGGTCGTCGAAATTGTCTATTTTGTAAAATGCAACTGTTTAACAACTTTTCAGTTTGAAAATAAAATATTAACAATTCTTCTCCTTGCTGTACTGCATTAAGCCTAATTAAGTGTATGTCGAGGTGGCATTTTTGCTACGAAATACGAAAAACTATGCAAAATATAGTTAGATTATATTTCGCATTATGGATAAAATTTTTAATAAAATGTGTAAGGTCCAAGTGCACGCGATTTGCTAGAGATGAAGTTATTTGAGTATTTTTATACCCTGAAAAATGGGTAAAAAGGGTATAATGTTTTTGTGCATATATGTATGTATGTAACAGGCTGAAGGAAGCAAGTATTTATATTCTCGATCTGCATCAATAGCCGAGTCAATCCAGCCATGTCTGTCTATTCGACTAAGCCTTTTTTACGTGTCTGAATAGATTAAATTACAAAACTTTGAAAATTTCGAAGCTAACATAAGAAAATACTACAATTATTAGAAAACCTTGAAAATTTGTTGGAATTTATGTATGTGCTATTTATTATTTATTTATTTTTATATTTGTATAAACAAATGAATAGCTATTTTATCATCTTCAATAGAGAAAATAGAAGCATTTGGCTTAAACGACTTTAATTCCGCTTAATAGTTGTTATTTTAGCAAAAACAATCAAGTCTCTTACAATGTTTATTATTTAATTGCACTCTTTGATAAATTAGCTAATTATGTTAAAGCTTCAAGTATAATTAAATGGACGTAATAGAGCCCGCATTTAATTAGTTAATTATGTTTAAGCTTCAAATATTATTTAATTGACCCACAATAAAATGTTACTTAAGCCAGAAATAAATATTTATGAAAATTTGTTGCTTGTATTATACAACTATTTGGCATACCAACTGCATAAATCGTTCAAAGGAAAGATGCAAATAAATGAAGAATACCTAAATAATACGATCCCAAATAAAATTGGTCACGAACCAAAATAAAAGTAACCAAACCCAAATTTAGCTCATTTGTATGTGCTGCAAGGCTTTTAATTAGAAGCCAAACAGACTCAATTTCATATATTATATTTTGATATCTTCGTTAATTTCCATACATTTTATCTAGCTGCCCTTCTATTTGCCACACAATTGGTGTCTCCTTCTCTTAACGTGTCTGACATTTCCGCTCGGAGAGATATGGCCAAGACGGCAATTGGGCTTTTGACGATATGCCAGACACGTCGCCGTTGCTGATTAATCTTTTTGACGAAATCTTCCACGGAACATGCTCACATTTTCAGATTTCTGGATTTATTTGTTTATGTTCTTTTTTTCTGCTTTGGGTTTTGCCTGAAGACTTGTGCGAGCACGCTGCTCTCGAAATATTGTTTAATTTTAAATTAATTTATTGCCATTTGGCGCAGAACAAGCGCCATAATTAATGCTTCTTGTGGGGGTCAAGCCTTTAAACTCTGGCGAAGGTCGAGCTTGTTGTTCTAAAAGCAACAAAAGAGATAATCTTTCGATCTGAAAACTGCAAAAATAATACAAATAAATAAATACAAAGACGACGGCATATCTTTCAATCAATTTTTAAACAATTATTTCAAATACAATAGAGGGCGGGCACTTGTGCAAAAACCCGGAGTCTGGGCGCTTTGTTACTAACGATGAGGTCAAATCGGGCAATACGCATATCTGGCCATCCACGTGAGTGTGTGCGTTTGCCTTGAGTATGTCTCAATACGTGTGTAGTGACTTTAAGATACATTTGTATCTTTTGCAGACACAGCACCCTGTACGTAGGTAATAACTTTCAGATACATTTGTATCTCTTGCTAGACGCAGCACCCTTTACGTAGGTAATGACTTTAAGATGCATTTGTATCTTTTGCAGACACAGCACCCTGCACGTGTGTAATGACTTTCAGATACATTTGTGTCTTTTGCAGATACAGCACCTTGTACTTGTGTAATGACTTTAAGATACATTTGCATCTTTTGCAGACACAGCACCCTGTACGTGTGTAATGACTTTAAGATACATTTGTATCTTTTGCAGACACAGCACCCTTTACGTGTGTAATGACTTTAAGATACATTTGTATCTTTTGCAGACACAGCACCCTGTACGTGTGTAATGACTTAAAATACATTTGTATCTTTTGCAGACACAGCACCCTGTACGGGTGTAATGACTTTAAGATACATTTGTATCTTTTGCAGACACAGCACCCTGTAATGGTATCGATTAGGCGGACGGACAAAGCGCACGGCGCAAAACAAAATATGTAAACACGTCAGAAGCCAACTCGTGTGTCCAATACTTAATGTATCTTGTGCATCGTATCTGCTACTTCTTGTTCTTCTTTTGTTTTTTGTTTTTCCGCTTGCTCTGCAACGAGTGATTAGACACAACGGGCAGCGGCAAATGTTATGGCAGCAGCAATAAAACCAGGTTACAAAATGCAGCCAGACACAACATAAAACTCGCAAACGGCACACTTAAAAATCAGCACAGAAGCACGCACGGAGAAATAACATCAATAAAACACGATTGGAGGCTGGGGTAAAAAAGTGAGTCTGTCGATTGATAAAAAGTCTATTAAAAAGAATTATGCTAGACTCCTCTACAACGAACGCCTCTTCAAAGAAAGTCGATGTCGCATTTGCTGCAACTTTTCTGCTTTCGAGCCAATCCCAACTTCGACTCACGCGCATAAAGATACTTTTCGGTTGGGTTCAACTAAAATTTTGAAGTTTTTGAATAGGTTGCATCCAAAAACTTTTTAATTAATTTGTTTGAAATTTTCCACAAAAGACCAAGCAACCAAGTTATTTCGGGCGAGAATTCTGGGATGGAAGTTTTCATGTTTTGCAGCTGCAATTAATAGTTTATGACAAATTTTAATTGCTTAAAGCGTACAAAGAACAACTTATTTCCATGTTAAAAGGTTTAAAAAAGTTTCTCGATGAACATTTTAATGGTTTATGGAAGCGAACATTTTATAAATATACGAATATATATAAAAAAAAAATGTGAGTAAATTATTTATTTTAATTTTTTGTCTTTATAAGAATATACTTTATAATCTATATAGGAATATAGATTATTATCTATATAAGAACCTGCCAAATATTTACCTAAAAAATCAACTGCTAATTTAATAATATAAAAAAATGTCGCCAATTCCTTGACTTGAAATCCTAATAAAAAGTGTTATTAATTAACGAATTTAAAGGAGAAAACCAAATTAAAATCATTTTGATTTTAATTTACCCAAAAGTCAGATCAATAAAAACAATTTTTTTTGTTTTCATTTCTCTGTTTAATTTAAATTCCTTTGTTCACCTGGCTGAAAATATTTGGATTGCAATTTGCAATTGGCATATAAAATGTAATTATAACCTGCGTTTGGCATTGCTGGCCATCGCAGCCAAGTTCTACTGTACCCAACGGCTAACAAGCAACGCTTTTCAACTTCTGTGTTGGATTTGATGCTCATCTAATGTGGCTGCCCCAAGCCCCAAGCCCCGGACTCCGACTGCGACTGCGACGGCGACTGCGACTGCGACTGGGCCTGAAGCGTGAAGCGCAGTTGCGTTTTCGTTACGTTTGGCTGAATGCGTAGCCAACGGCAGAGCAGGGCAGTCCAGAGACGACCACCCTCCCGGCCAATAAAAAACAAAACCAACAAAAAAAAAACAGTAGAGGTTTCACATATGAAGTTGTAAATATGTAGGAGCTGGCTGAAATAAACGAGCCAGCCACTGCATAAAATTCCACAGCACACACACACACACAGGCACACACACAGATAGAGAGAGGGAGCTTCTATGCCGCAATGTCTGGTGCTCAAACCGGGCAGGTGGCTAGCTGGGCGCGCGCACGCTTCTAGCCAGGCTGGGCTAACTAGCTGCTGGCCTGGTCGGGTCTGGTCTGGTCTGGCCGGAACGCTTGACCGGCTGATGATGCGCGGCCTCGACTCGACTGACTGGCCAACAACTTGTGCACATATTGGCATATTTTCCGGTTCTAGGCAAGAAGAAAGTGCAGACAGACGCTGGCAACCGCTACTCGCATAAATATTAAACGGCCATCAAATAATAATATCATAAATAATAATAATATGTCAAAATTACTTTGTATTTCTTGGCAGCTTTCCAGGGATTTCGCAATTTTCAATAGTTGTTTTTATTTGCTTTTTTTTGGGCAATTTCACTTGTGTGTGATTTTTAATTATTTATTTTTGCTTTTAACTGTTTTAGGATTTTCCACTTTTCTGCGGCTACTTTCGGCTCAATGAAATTTTCATGTGCACGAGAGCACAATGAGGGCGCACCGTGTGTACTGGCACACACACACACACACACAGGCAGGCAGATCAACTCACACTCTGTTAAACACACAGACACACAGAGATATACGCGACACGAGACAAAGTGTTTATTTAACTGTTTTTGTTTATTAGTTTGTTAGGCGGCAAAGTCAAGCGTATCAATGCGAAACAAACGCGCAGCCGATGAGCACCATTAAAAGACTGAAACTGAACTGAAAGCACAACCGAACCCGCAGCCAACTGCAGCCTGAGAGATACACAAGAAATGTTAACGGCCCCGGCATGTCTGTTAACATGCAAAGAGAGCAAGAGCCAAACGCGTCACTCTGTTAACATAACAGGGCCAGTCTCTTAAGTGGGCTGTGCGCGTTGATTGACTGTTGATTTGTGGGCTTTCCATGGTGCGATTAATGACAAGAGCTCAGCGGATGGCCGCACAATATGTTGAGCTTGGCTGCGTCGACTTAGTTGGAGTTAATGTTGTTCTTGTTGTTGTTATTGTTGTATCTGTAACCACAGATTACAAAGCGCTAGAGGCGCAGAAATCTCACCGTGCGATCCCATTTAAGTTTTTAGTTATGCATCAAAAATGAACAACATTTTATTTTTAATACATTTCGTATAACGAACCGGTATAAATTTATTGACTTGGCAATCCGCTTTAGTAACATACATATATTCTATTATCATATCCATAACATATAGTTTCTTAATGTATATCTATACAAATATTTATAAATCTACACGTTGAATTTATTATGGTTTAACCAAAAGGTTTTGTGATTTAATTAACAGGCATATTTGTGCGAAACCGTTTGGCCCGATATTTCATTACGACAAACGGTTTTCTACGAATTTCGTAAATATCTTGGTTATCTAATACATTTTGATATTTTAGATTAAATTCATATTGGCATATTTATTAAAACAATTAATAGGAAAACTGATTTTGCTTTCACTTTACTTTGTGGAAATGTTTGTTACATCTGACTTTCGAAATTTTACCTCAAATGCTCTTCAAAAATTATTCAATCAAATGTGTTCGAACCAAATAACTTGGGCGCCAATCATAGCATAAATGTACCTATATTTGGGATCAAACCTGCAGACAGTAAACCGCACCAGGTACATTTCTTAGGTACATTTCCTTCTAACATAATTAGTAGTATCAAGGCATCAGGCAATTAAAGCATCGAATCAAGCATTAGTCGTAGCCCTTACAATGATAGCTCACTGTACGGGTATCCCATAGCGTTAAATGTCACGCTGTTGAGCATTGGCAATGGCCATGGCCATGCTTAGAATGCCAGAAACAAAAGGCGCCGCCAATGTGCAACAAAAATAAAGCACAAATGCAAACCAAACGGGTCACAATTACAGTTGGAGCTGAGAGGCGGAATGGAGGGTGTGTGCGCTGCTGGGCACAGCGGGGCGTTAGCAGCACCAGCGCTGGAATGGGTCGTAACAGCAGCATGTTAGACGCCTAACAGTGCGAGAGCGGCAGCTGTTAGGGAACAGAACCAGCCAGCCCGTTTGGGCACGCGACAATATCAATAACAAAATCGGTTTCGACTGATAGATGGATGGCTTGATTTTCACAAATGTGACAGACGTCAGTCAAAACTGTCAGCGGCAGCATTTAAGAAAATCGATAGATAAATAAATGCTTAAACACTGGCTTAAATCGTTGTTGTATCCAGCTTGGCTTTAACTTTTAATGAGCCGCCGTTTTGCTCTGCCTGACATCTCATTCATTACGGCTTTTTTCATACTTAGCATCTGCTTATGTACACAGTATATATGTGTATAATTTTATACCTAAACTGTTGTAGCTCTTTGCTGTGCGCCTTTGCCATTAAGCATCAGGCATTAGGCATTTGGCATTTGCCATTGTCTCGAGGCACTGGCGCTAGATAATTGCGTTTAACTGGTAGCTAGCTAGTTCCCATTGTTGTTGCCATTCTCTTTTTTCGGCTCACAACTAATCAAATATTTATGCGCTGGCTTTTTCAGCTCGGCATTTAAATAATGCAGTAGCTACTGTAGCTACTGTATTTTCACTTTTTGTATTCCGGGCCCAAGCATATTGCATAAGCTAAGGAAAGTATTTTCGTGCGCTGCCCACGCAGCGTATGCGCAATTTTGTATTAAATATTTAAATATTTAATGCCAAGTCAGGAGTCCAATTCGTTGACCCTTCAGCCCTGTCCAGACATGTCTTGTGCTACTTCTGTTTGTCTATTTGCCTATGTGCTTCTGAAGTTTAAAGAAGCATTGAACTTTTGTTGCTGCCAAGTTCAAGAGTTCATCGCAGCATCCAGCAGCAGCATCTGTTGTTGTTTTTAACCCAAAGTCAATGTTTTCTAATGTTCCTTGCAATGGCTGCCGAATGAGGTATACCTATTTTGTGCGCACAGAATGGTAAATATAGGAAAAATATGTCTATCAAAATTGATAACAATAATAATAAAATATATAATAATAACAATGTGTCACTGACGAATTTAACTTGATATTGATATTATTTATTTAGTTCCTATTTATTTTCAAATTTATTTATTTATTTATTTATTTATACTGCAAGTGCAGTTTTTTTCCAGCAATTTTAACATATGACATATGGTATACATATACCATTAAGATATTAATTACTACATCTATTTTATAAACTTATACCCTAACGTCCTGGCAAGGAACCTGCTAAGGAGGCGAAGAAGAAGAGCCCTTAAGGGACCTACCCAACAGATCTAGTCGATAGATGCCAAACAAACTGGAACCTAGGCTAGTCTAGAAATAAATATGTTAAAAAAATAATTAAATATAATATATATACTTATACTTCTTTAATCAACAGATTCCTGCAGAAGACCTCAGTTTCCTGGTGGCGCTAATACTCTAATACTCATGGTGGAAATACTCTGTTAAATGTTAACTCTGTTAAATGTTAAATGTCTGTTAATCTACAGACAGTCAATAAACCTATTTGTTAATACATACAAATAACATACATATTTGACGCTCTCATGGTCCATCATAGCTCAAGTATTTTTCTAGGGTATCTCTCAGTGCAGCAACTTGTTACCCTCTCGCATACTTAGCATATTTTCATGCTTAAGGCTCTTGTTGCGCTTTTATTGTGCGGCCAAGGCATTCGAACTGAGAACTACGCTCTCCGGGCTTGACTCAGCACGGCTCGTTCCCTTTGTGGCGTCTGCCACGTTGTTTTGGGCACTTGAAGGTTCCTTGACGCGACGTCGCCAATGCCACAGAACACAATGGGAAAAGTCGCTTTATGCGAGGCGTTCGCCTGTTGGCGCTGCCATTAATTCTATTTGGCCCGTCTGCTCCTTTATGCTATCAATGGCCGGCACACCACGCCACGCCCTGTTCCCATTATCCCTTCCAGCATAAAATTAGTAAAGCAGTCGCGACTTAGTCTGCATATTTTTCCTTGTCTCTTCGTTTGGTTTTCCGAATATTCGGGCGTAATTAATGGTCAGTTCGGCAGTTCATCAGCTGAGGTTGTGGGGTGGGGCATGGGGGGGGGGGGGTTTCCGTCACGCATAATTATCTGCGATACTATATTTGCAAAGTTCATCGGTCTGCGAATGTTTCAGGTAAATGTTTATTTGGGGGCGTTGTCTAGTTAAAGTTCTTCGTTAAATTCGATTATGCTCGAAACTTTGTATTAACTGTAAAAAGTGTAAAGTGTGAATGAAGTAATATTTTATTTTGGCAAATCTTGTCTTGAACTTAAAACAGTTTAAGTATATAAATATCATGGGTAAATAAGGACATATTTTGAAATGTTATACCTTTTTGTATTCGTACGGATCCCTACTATCGATTGGCAATCAATTGAATCTAAAATCTAAAAACCAAGTGTGGAATGATGTCCATCTTTTTGATGATTTTTTTTGAATATCTCGTTCAAATAATGTCCGATAGTTAATTTATGTTATATATATATTATATTATATACCATGGCTATCGATTGGCATTCAAAAATTCAAATTCTAAATCTTTCACCAAATTCAACAAAAAAGCACGGAGGTTAATTCAAGTTTTTTGTGAAAATCGGAGTCGGTTCGAAAAGTTGTATTGTATATATAAAACCAGTAAATTAAAAAATAAATAAAATTATTAAAATAAAAACATAGAAGATATTTTACATAACAAAATATGTTTATTTTTTTTAATCTGTTTTCAATTTTATAAAAAAAAAAATAAATTTTATATTAATAGGTTAGGTTAAGTTTAAGGCTCTGCTGTTCAATTCATGATGGATTAAATATTGGAATTCTGGATTGGAAGCAATTGCCAACCTTTCTTACTTTTTTTTGAATTTATGTTAATATTAACATATATATTTTTATAATTTTACTGACTTCGTTAATTCAAGAATTTGTACCTCATTTACATGTTCTTTTTTTAGATGTTCCATAAGGGTGAAGCTTTTTAATTTTTTCCCTGTGGCTTGCTCATTTTTATTTAATTCATTTAACTCATTTTTATCAAAATCGTATAACGTATTATGTCACACATTTTGCTGTAATTTCAGGTTTCCTTATGCTGTGAACAAAGTATCCATTTAAATAAAAAAAATTTAACTTTATAATATAACTAAGTTAAACAAACATTCCTTGGGCCTTCATTGTTGTCGGCTTAATGTAAATTTCTATTGCCACTTTTAATTAAAGTTAAATCGCGCTATAATTTCTATGAGCGCAAAAAAAAAGAAGACGCTAAGCTATATTTATGAGGCAAAGCATAGCTAAAAGCCTGGCAGAGGCTTAGCTCATGTGCCTCGAGAGGGGTTAGATTTAAATAAATTTAAATAAATAAATTAACCTTTTTTTAAGTATGCACTCCACGACTTTTGCCAGCTATTTGCACTTTTACTTTTTGGCATTTGTTTTTTGTTTTGTCGAACCCCCTCTTAATTAGTTTGTGCACGCCCCTGCGCTAACCACAAAGCACTCTCGTACAGCTTGCTGGCAATTTGTCTCACAGCTTTTCTCATGTGGCTTTCGCCTGAGACAACCTTCATTCAGAATTCTTTTTTTTTGCTCAATGTTTTGAATAAGTGACTCGCCCGCCAGCGGCTTAGATGAATGAAGTTTTGGCCACTGTTTCGCAGCAGCAGCAACAAAGTCTAGAATCCAATATTTTCCAGTTAAGACCCAAACCAGTTTTGGGTTTTGACAACA